TAAATACTTTTTGTTTTTTGGTAATAACTCAGGTGATTAATAAAATATTTAATTAAAAAAAGTAAAAATCGATTAAAAAAAGCCGTTTCCACCGCATTTAGCAATTGTGATAAAGTTAAGATTTCTTGTGGTTCTTAACTTTTTCACAAAAAAAATATTGAAAAAAATTAATACATAATATTTAATCCTTATTTTTATAGGTTCTATTAATTAATTTTCGAAAGAAAAAATTTTTATTTTTTCTCATGTTCTTTTTAATGTGTGAAAAAAAAAAGAGACTACTTTGTTATCTTTAGGAAAAAAATTAATTAATTTTATTTGAAAACAATTTTTTTTTCTTTAGTGGTACTTAACATTTTCACAACACTGTATATATATATATATATATATATATATATATATATATATATATATATATATATATATATATATATATATATATATTTATATATATATATATATATTATATATATATATATATATATATATATATATATATATATATATATATATATATATATATATATATATATATATATATATATATATATATATATATATATATATATATATTAGGGTGATTCAGATTGTAATAGAAAAAAAAATGTCACAAAAAACATTCTCCTCAAGGTTGCCTGTGTTCCTTTATCACCTAGGATCATGTGTACCAAAAATTAGACTAAAAGAAGCAATTTTAGGGGTTGCCATGTTTTATAAGATGAATTAACCATTGGTAAAATTTTGTGATTTTCTCAAATTTCGCAAATTTGTTTTTTCATTGTTTATTTATTTATAATTTAGAAATTGATAATATGGCAACCACTAGATCTTCTGCTGAGGTGTGGCTTGTTGGTAAACCTACACAAACTCTGTCGACTGCCAGACTTCCTTCAAGAGGGGATATTCTTTGGAGGTTGCTCTTCCATCATATAGAAGAGAAACAAGAAGTGAAAAAAAGTATTCGGGCAACAATTGAAGCAGTTATTGTTATATGGGAGAGAGGAAAAATTCCAACTCAAAGAATTGACAATGCGGAAAGAAAGTTAAAAAAACTTTATGACGAATATCTGCTGCTGAAAAAACACCGAGGATCAAAATTGGACAGCTGTCAAATGAAAGAAGAAATTTTCCACGCTGACCTTGAAGAACTTTTTGATATTTCAACCAAAAATGCATCAGACGTTATGAAAAACGATGAAGATAAAGCATTTTTACGTCAGCAGCAAGAAGATCCATTAAGTTGTAGTATGGCAGGAATTGATCGGAATTTAACAGCTAGGGAGGCACGGAAACGAGTCCGAGAAACTAAAATGGAATTGAGGCGTCAAAGAAGTCAAGCGGAACTGATGGAAAAAACAGAACTCATTTCTTCTTCATCAGCAGTTGACATTGTGAGTGAAAGTAGCTCTAGTTCCTCGGATGATGATGAATATCAGACTCCTTCCGCTTCCAGCACACTGAGCACAAGTGGTTCAACGAAAAAGAAGATGAAAGTTCTAACAAATAATGTTGTATCATCTCTTGATCGTGTTAATATTTCTGATCGCCGTGCACTCTTCGTGGTTGGAACAGTGTCTCAGGCTCTTGGTCACTCGGTAAAAGATTTATCATTGTCGTACAGCACAATCCGCAGAAAAAGGCGATCTGTTCGTGAAGCGGTGACTACAGCTGACAAGGTTGATTTCTCTCCTGATGATCCACTTCTTCTGCATTGGGATGGAAAGCTCTTACCTGATATCACTGGTGGTCAAAAAAAAGTGGATAGAATTGCCATCCTTGTGACTGGTGGTGGGGTGGAAAAATTGCTGGGCGTTCCAAAGATTGATCGAGGTACAGGTGAGCAACAGGCTGATGCTTGCATGAAGGCTCTTAAAGACTGGAAATTGAAAGAACTTGTTCGGGGACTGGTTTTTGACACTACTTCATCTAACACTGGGTTGAAAATTGGTGCCTGCACAATAATGGAGCAGAATCTTGACCGTAATCTTATATGGATAGCATGTAGGCACCATATGTTTGAAGTCATGCTTTCCACTATTTTCACGACTGCATTTGGAACCAGTGGAGGACCTGAAGTTGGAATTTTTAACCGTTTCCAGAAACAATGGCCAGCAATCAACAAGGAGGTGTTCACTATAGGGAATAAAGAATTTTACAACTGCGATTTTTTTCTCAAACTCTGTGAAGAAATGGTAGTATATTATAGTGAAGCAATTAAAGGTCAACAACCCAGGGATGATTACTTAGAACTCTTGAATTTGTGCCTTATTTTTCTTGGAGGATCAACTACAACATCGGAGTTCAAAGTGAAGTTTCGGGCTCCAGGTGCAACACACAATGCACGTTGCATGGCAAAAGCTATATATTGTATAAAGATATATTTGTTTCAGGATCAATTTGTTATTACTGCAAAGGAAAAGAAAGAAATAACAGATATAAGTCTTTTTGTGGCATTTGTATACGGACAGTTTTGGAATGAAGCTCCGTTAGCTGAACGAGCACCATTCAATGATGCCAAGCTTCTTCAACGGATTCAAGAATATCCAAATCGTACAATTGCAATTAATGCAGCAAAAGCTTTTCATCGCCACCTCTGGTATTTTTCTAAACATCTAATAGGATTGGCTTTCTTCGATTTCCGTGTCGACAACAACACCAAGAGAGACATGGCAAACAACCTGAAACAACAGCCAAGGCAAAAATCTCTCAAAAGACTTGATGCTGCCACATTCGATTGTCACAGCCCATTGCCTTCCTTCGTCACACAACGCACCGCAGAACTTTTCGATCTAATTTTGAAAAATGGAAAAGAAAAAGCTGAATCATTTTTAATGAAAGAATCTTCAGAGTGGGAAATGGTTTCAACATATCTTGAAATGAAGCACAAGGTTGGTCAAATGAAAGTCGTCAACGATTGCGCGGAACGAGGCATAGCACTTATAACATCCTTTAACTCAAGCGTTACGAAAGATGAAAACCAAAAGCAGTTTCTTCTTAGATTGGTTGATCTTCACCGGAAGTAATTTCCAGTTGCATCAAAGTCTACCCTGATGAAGATGACTGTTGAATGATGAAGATGATTGATTTATTATTGCCTAGAGCAATTACATAGTAGTACTATAGTATTGATTTTTTTAACATTGAACATCCACAATCCACCACTTAATAATAAGAAATTGATAATAAATAATTCAGTAATATAATATAAAAAATGTAAAAATAAAAAATATTTTTTTTACTTTTTGTAACCTTATACCAAAATGTGACAAAACATGGCAACCCCTAAATATCATCCAATTTGATTCAAATTTTGGCCAATAACTACTATTGTCATATAGAACAAGGGCAAGCTTGAGGACAACTAAAGTTTTGAACCTACAAATTTTGCATCACCCTAATATATATATATATATATATATATATATATATATATATATATATATATATATATATATATATACATTTACATATATATATATATATATATATATATATATATATATATATATATATATATATATATATATATATATATATATATATATATATATATATATATATATATATATATATATATATATGTAAATGTATATATATATATATATATATATATATATATATATATATATATATATATATATATATATATATATATATGTGTATATATATATATATATATATATGTATGTATATATATGTATATATATATATATATATATATATATATATATATGTATATGTATATATATATGTATATAATGTGTATATATATATATATATATATATATATATATATATATATATATATATATATATATATATATATATATATATATATATATATATATATATATGTATATATATATGAATATATACATATACATATATATAATAAATAAATACATTTACAACATAAATGATTTGTTTGAATTAAAACAACATAAATTGTTCGTTTAAATAATAGATAACTACAGCAGATTTTATTTCTGTTTATAACTTTTGTGTCATAACTTTTGTGTCTTAACTTTTGTGTTTACCTTTTGTGTCATTGTGCTCTTTATTAGTTCATGAAAGTTTTTTTAAACTTTTAAGGAACAACTTCACGTCAATATTCTGCATAGTTACCTCAACTAATTTGTGTCACATTTTAACAACTTGTGTTACATTCTCTCCTTTACAAAGATAAGAATGTGACACAAGTTATAGGTTTTCAATAACTTTCATAAGCTTTGTGACATGTGCGAACATTTTACATATGGCTGATTTGGTATGAATTGGCAGGTCATTAACAAATAAAACAAAGAGCACTGGTCCAAAAACAGAACCTTGCGGAAAATGACTGGTTGCATCAATCTAGTCAGATATTGAATTTTCAAGTATACCACGCTTTTGTCAAAAAGGCGTTTATCCAATTTAGAAGATTGCCATTTATACTATAAATTTCAAGCTTTTGCAGCAGACTAACATAAAAAACATTATCGAACATCTTTGCTAAGTCGAAAAAATTAGGTCTACTGGTTTCTTTTTTAACTAGCTATGAATCATTAATTTTATTAGTCTATTAATAAATAAAATCAAGTAATTAATAATATAATAATAAGTCTATTAATTCTAAAAGAATTGCGATGCAAACCTTTATGAAGTAATATGTTGACTTTTGAAAAACAATTTTTGGTGAACAGTGTGTTAAACAATAGTTTATAAGACTTTACTTATTAATTACTTAAGACTTTATTTACTTGTTACTTATGCTAATTATGTTAAAAAGATATTCGAAATAAATTAAGTTAATTTAAATTAAATAATTATAAAATAAATAATTTAATAATTATAAAGTGGTGCAGAGTATCTTTAATAAGGCACCAGTTAAGTCTTTACAGGACTTAACAATGAGATGGTATGTCTGGAACCTAGTGGGATCATCTAAAACGCTGATTCTATTTTTTCTAATGTTATATTTATCATTAAAAAAACAAAAAACAATTTAATTACAACTTTACCAAAATACCACCGAGTCGTCTTTCAAGCTAAAATAAGTAAAAAAAAAAATAATACAAATTACACAATTTTTTAGAATTTTATTAGGAAAACAATTATGTAATTAGCCACTCCAAACATTAATGTCTTTTTTTAAAAGCAGTGTACACTGATTTACTCAATTATGAATATAAAACCACTTAAATCAAAAATTATTTAAGCCACACCTTGACTTAATTTTATTTATTTAATAACTGGATTGAAATTTTAAGTAAAAATACAAAATGTGAATAAAATAAAGCACAATTTAAAAAACATTAATTTGCTGATTTTTATTTGAATTAAATAAAAATAAAAATCGGAAAATGTTTCTAACCTATCATTTAATATTAATTTCTCCGCGCGGCGGCCTTGCTTGTCAAGGTTCGTGTTTGGAGTTAAAGAGTTGAGAGAGGGTTGTACCACGATTTACGAAAAGAAAAAAAAAGAAAAAAAAAAAGAGTAATCTCCTCGACTGTAGTGGCCCCCTCAAGCCTTGGGGATATTGAATAATTAGTGAATAATTAAAAATTAAAAACAAAAAAAACAACAAAAAAAACCATTCTTATCGCAAACCACAACTTATTTGAAACCACAACATATAATATTTTTTATTGATACATGAATAAAAAATGTAACTTATAAACTTGTATTTGTAACTTATTCTTAAAACAACCAAATCCTCCCTTATCTTCACTCCTTAACTTGTGTCTTATCTGACTCTAGCCTTTGCTCTGTTTTTTTTTTGTTTTTTTATCATTGCTTATTTAGGTGGTTCCTTTAGGTGGTTCAGATTGTGCTCTGATCTAGCTTAAACTTTAAATACTGCACACTATAATTTTTAAATAATTATAGAACAATAAAACTGCACAGCAAAAGAGGCCCTGATATGGTCTCAAAAAAAACTTTTATCTTCTTCTAATTGAAAGTTACCCAATTACTAAATCTTAAAGCTGACTCAAATTCATTTTATAACTTTTTAACTGTAAAGCTGAGTTACCATTGAAAAAAATTAACTATACTATTGTACTGTTAAACATATGTATATTAAATATTTACAAAAAACTAGAACTGTAATATAATGTGTAAAACTATAATAACTTTTATAAATAGAAACGTAGCTCAGTTGGTATATATTGCGTATATATTGCATATACTAACAATGAAATTAACTTGTTGAACCAAGTTATTTTGTTCATCAGTTGAAATAAAGCAAGCAAAACAGCAATACCAAGAGTACTCATATATATAAACTCAATTTAATATTTACTTATATATAGCAATAATGTATAGTCCTATCAACTTTTCCAAATTACAGACTCTGAGGTCAAAAGCAATAGACTCCTTAGACCTTAAGCAAACTTTTAAACTAGCAAGTATTCCATTTTAATAAACAATAACAGCTTTTTTTAAATATTATATTAATTTTGCATTCTTTATCTAGTTTTGGTGGAATAGCATTAAACGCTACATATATGATATTAGTAGTAAACATTTATACAAAAATGTGTTTTATATCTATTTTGAATGCAGAAGTTTTTATAACTATTTTATTCATTGACAACAGCTTCTAATAAAAATGAAAAGTAAGTCATGTTTTTTTTTTTAACTTTTATCTATTAATTTTTAAAATCTTCCAACTTATAGAAGGCACTTTTATTTTGATACAGTAATGTTCAGAGAAAATCATTTTCTATGTTATATCCTTAAAGCTAATAAAAGTTAACACTGCAATATATATCATACAATGTTCCTTTACAAATAAAAAAAATTGTAATGCAGCATTTTATTATTTTTCTCAAAAAAAAAAAAAACATTTATATAAGGGAAAGTTGGGTTGAAAGCCCCAGACAGTGGGTAATTCCAGACACTTAATGTACAACTTAAACTAAAGAAACTATATGACTTTAAATACTATAAAAACATTATATGAGTGAAACAATAAATGACTGAGGTTGATATATGACTGTGACCGAATCCAGTTTTGCTAAAATACAGCTAGGACCAGGGCCTGCATAAACATTTATACATCCTAAAGTTCATTTTTTTTTCTACAAAATTTATGTTTGATTTTGAATATATGTGTTTATAAACATCATTATGATCAACATGATCATCATCATTATCACAATCACCATCATCATGATCACCATCATCATGATCATTGTCATTATAATTGTTATCACCATTATTATCATTATCATCTTCATGATCTTCATGATCGTCATGATCATCATCATTATCGTCGCCATCATTATTATCATTATCATCATTATTGTCATCATCATCATCATCATCATCATCATCATCATCATCTGCTGCTGATCATGACATCATCAGGCTTTAGCCTTCCTCTTTTATACTGTTTAATCATGGTCAATGCTCAAAGGAGCTACCTCTATTACAATAAACCAAAACTCATTCTTGCTTGGTTTCTTGTTCAATAAGTTGCATCCTTTTACTGTATCTGTCCCTATTTATCAAATACTAGCATAGATATATATGCCATAATTTAATAAATAGTAGATGTAAGTATAAAATTATAATATATAAAGAATTATAAATTTATTTTTAGCCCTGGCTATCAACTCAAGCTTAATCTTATAATTTTGCAGGGGCCAGATTTGCAAAAAGTCACATTTTTAGCCCGGGCCTCGGTCACTTACTAAAGTGAAAACATGGCATATGTAAAATATCTATCATATTATGTCAGAGCAATTGGCTGGGAGAGCAAGATATTGTATCCCACCACCAGAAGAGTGATGTTTCATCATATTTGATTCACATACTAATATACCTAATAAAACTAATAAATAATATGTAAACTAATATCTTTTAATTGATTAAAAACATATTTTTATTTACAAAATTTATTAAAAAAAAAATTCATTAAATACTTTAATTCACTGGTTTTAAATTTAGTATTTGTGAATGAGGCATGATCGGTTGGTATCGGACACATGTTTGGAGGATGGTTCCGGACAACTTAATTCATTAACAAATTAAAAATGAGTAATTTTTTTACATAAAGAATAATGCATTTCATATAATACACAAACCTATAATTGTAATTCATTTAATTCCAATAAAAGTGTTTTTAAAGTATTTATTTTCATTAGTAAAAAGCTAATGTTTACATTTCTTTATGATGACATTTTTATTTCCATTCCATACATATCAGAGGCAATTTTTAATGAGTTTCTTTTAATGTGTTGAGAACAGACCAATGCTAACTAATTATATATTATTTTTGTGTCACACTGGTTAAAAGAGGTAAAATTATGGTTAAACTATGTGTCCAGGGCTACCCTCTAATTTTAAAACATGCTTTTTTTATAACATTTTTTCTTTTATGTTTTGTATATTATTAAGGAACACAATAATTATTTTTTTATTTCTAATTCTATAGATAAATGTTTGTATTTAAAAAAAAGTCTTTTGAGACTTTTTTTTCTGTTAGTATATGTGCACAATCTATTTTTTCCTGGGGCTAACTGATTTTCCCCTAACCATTCAATAAATGTATTAGCTAACTATCTTATAACCTTTCTAAATTCATTCTAAATGATCAAATGAAAAAAAAACACAGACCTTTATATATTTATATATATATAAGGGAATTGATTTTGTAACAGTCATTACAGTTATTTTAATTGTGTGATATTGTATTCAGCTTTTAATTTCTTATCTGGTATCGCTACTTTAGTTAAATCTCTCGTAGTATCATAATTCCTGTCTGGTCTTTCGTTCTGTGTTCAACATTCAACAAGTAAACTTTAGTTTTAAACAATTAAACATAAGTATACTTTAGTTACTAAAGAAAACTTAACACATTATGCCTCTTACAACATCTTTAATCTGGGAAAGATGTTGGCAGTGCCGAGAAATAATCCTAAGATTTATTACCGGCAGAACTGTTTTTATATATAATAACTTAACTCGCCAACACAGAAATTTGCGTAGCCAAGCGGATAAAGTTATGTCTCAGGACCCTGGAGCTCTAGGTTCAAGTCTTATTTAATATTTTGTATTTTTTATAATTAAAAATGAAGTTTTTAATTATAAAAAATCACTTTGAATTCTTTTTGTTTCATATATAAATACCTACTAATTAATTCTAAAAAATTTTTTTTTTAATTTATGTCTATTAAAGGGTCTTTTTTTGGTAATAATATTTATGAAAATATCCTTTTACTTTTTTTAGATGTAAAATTTACAGTAAATGCCCCAAATTTAATTTTGCCCCAGGCCCTGAGTGAGTTCGAAGCCTCCTGGCTCTTTGTTGCTTTTAATAAAAATAAAATAAAAAATTACAATAAATTATATAAATTGTACATTTTTAGGAGCATCTGCTCTGCGTAAAACTTGTGGAAATAAGCTTGCAACAAAGCATGCAAATACTACTGGCTTGCAAAAGCATATTCAAACACAACATAGAAAGTTATTCATCGAACTTCGAAAGAAAGAAGATGAGTAGAGATCACAAATAGATGAAGAACTAAACTTAATTGAGGCAGATCTTTCTGGATCTGCAAAATATTTAGCCATCAAAACTCTCACTCTTCCAAAGAGGGAGTTTACAAAAAAGTGATCACTTCAAGATCGGGGTCAATTAGTAGTGGATCATGACATCATTAATTTGATTGCTACTGAGTACTTGCCCAGTTTTGTTGATTTTAAAAATTTTTAAGAGATTTATGAACAAAATATTACCAAATGCCACAATAAAACATTTAACAACTTTCTCAAAAAATAAACTCCCTCAGCTTTACCATACACTAAAGGAAGTAATACATGAAGTTATGGAAAAAGAACTTATAGATCTTTATCAGGTTGCCATAACCACTAACCACAGGACATCAAGGACAAATGATTCATACATGTCCGTGACATTATTTTATATCTCGCCACACTTTGGCCTGAAGAAATTAACATTAGAGGTGTGCCTATTCAAAGAGTGACACACTGGTGTCAACATTCTAAAAGCACTTGATAACACACTCTCATACCC